AAGGCTAGTTCCGGAGGCGTTTTGAGGGCAGGCCGGTCCCCTCCTGCCCTCGAGGGCAGATTTCCGGGCGCCGCCGAAAGTACCCTGTCTTCAGGCAGGGAGGGCTTAGTGGGGGTCTAATCTTGTCGAAAGTGCCGCGAGAGTGAAAGATAGCTGAGATGAAGGCCTTTCATATGAACTACTAACCTGGCGTAGGTGCGGGGTTCAGCGGGCGGTTAACTTCAATACTGCAAACCCAGGAATGACCTAAAATGCGTCTTTTCCTTCGCGCGCAGGCACAGCAGGAAGCGCTACAACTGCTGTCCCTCAGGTCGTCACTGGTCCAGACATTACGACCCTGTTGTGCACCCAGCCAAAGCACAGTTACTGGCGCAAGCAGGAAGAAGTAGAGATGAATCTGGGGCTAGAGAAAAACGCCATTGGCGTTTTTTTATGGGCCTAGGGGGGAGGGGTAGTAGGGCNGTGCGGGGTTCAGCGGGCGGTTAATTTCAATGCTGCAAACCCAGGAATGACCTAAAATGCGTCTTTTCCTTCGCGCGCAGGCACAGCAGGAAGCGCTACAACTGCTGTCCCTCAGGTCGTCACTGGTCCAGACATTACGACCCTGTTGTGCACCCAGCCAAAGCACAGTTACTGGCGCAAGCAGGAAGAAGTAGAGATGAATCTGGGGCTAGAGAAAAACGCCATTGGCGTTTTTTTATGGGCCTAGGGGGGAGGGGTAGTAGGGCGACCAATGGGCGAAGGGTTCTAGACCGACTGGAGGAGGCTGGGGTTTTCCGCTGGCTAGGGACCAATTCACTGCGCAGTGTTTGGTGGTTGGCTTTTACGGGGAAGGACGCGACACGACCCAGGTTTGAGGACAGAGGAGAAGATAACTTGTGCGAGCCGGCCGGGAGCGGGGCTGAGGAACACGTTGGGACTCTGAGAGATACCAACCCGGCCGTTGGCGCGACGACAGCACAGGAGGGGGGTGGGAGTAGTACAGTTACGCCGGACGAATAACAAGGAGAAGAGCTTCCGGAGAACACGAAACGGAGGTATTTTCAACGTTCAATTTTATTATGGTGCCTCTGTGGGGTTACCAGTGGGCGGTCGTCGTGCTCTGACGACTACAAGGCACTGCTGTGTAGGCGAGATGCACATTACCATGTACTCGTCACGTGCCTTGATATTCTGCTGTTGACAACTTCTTTGCGACTACCATTGTATTGTCGAGCATGATGCTGAGGGTGTTGGCTCATGCCACCTGAGTATCCCTCATGCGTCGCCGCGACGCTGTCTATGTCCGTTGCTCATGCTGGCGCGGTCATTTATGCTTTTGTTTCTGCTTCACGCAGGGTGGCGTGGGTTCGGAGCGACGCGATGCACGCGATGGTGTCCACTCCAACATGGGGGTACTTCTTGAACTTGTTCGAGTTGTCAAGAGTCCTAGANCCACCTGAGTATCCGTCATGCGTCGCCGCGACGCTGTCTATGTCCGTTGCTCATGTTGGCGCGGTCATTTATTCTCTTGTTTCTGCTTCACGCAGGGTGGCGTGGGTTCGGAGCGACGCGATGCACGCGATGGTGTCCACTCCAACATGGGGGTACTTCTTGAACTTGTTCGAGTTGTCAAGAGTCCTAGATCTACCAGCGGATGATCTTCGCGCCATGCTGCAGCCTCCGTGTGCCCGAAAGTCTACGATCGAGCATGAACTGTTCCTCTCGACGTTCGGCATTATCCCGGGGTGTCATGACGGGAAGCCCGCCTGGCATTTGCTTGGATGTGGGCGTTGTCAACAATTAACGTAGGAGGGTGAGTGACATTGTCCTTGTGTGTGGTGTTCGCAACGTGTCGTGTTTGCATGTCCTGGGTGCCATCCAATCGCTTTGGTTTTATGTTATGGGTGTCTTACGATGATTTTATTGGAACTGCCAAGCGGGGTGACGCCGATTTCTGGGGAGGCGCGGGTAAAGTGCAGAGGGAAACCACCGGAGGGTTCGATGTTTGGGGAACTCATTTGTCCCTTGTTCTTGATGCACCTTTGCAGTGTCGTCATGGGGGGGGGTGTTGCTGTGAAAAATGTATCCCGATAGACGCTCGACTTGATTGTTTCAGTATGTTTTTGCTCTCGGAACTGTTCGGAGGGGGGTGCAAGGAAACGTCCGCACAAGCGGGGGAGCAGGAACACAGACAGCCTTTTGCGTGTCTTCCACACGAGTCTATGTGTGCATTATATTTTTTGTTTACGCATGGGTCTACGTGCACATTTTTTGCATGGTTTACGGAAGAAATGGCCAGCACCCACCGCAACCCTCGGACGCTGGTGACAGGTCTAGCTGAGTGTTTTTCCGCGGGGGAGCGGAGACGACAACATTAGAGTGCCTAAAAAAAGAAACATATACACTCGCAGCTGTCGAGCTTGGCCTGCGACGAAGCCAGCATCCGAGGAAGGGACAGCCGGGTATTTGTGTGGCTGATATGGGCAGCCGTGTTTCCGTAGGATACATGTCAGAGGAAAAGCATCGAATGTCGCGGGGCCCACGCGTGGCTTGTCTTCCACATTTTCGGCGGTGTCGGGCAGCGGATTTATTTTCTCGGCTTCACGCCGCTACTAGACGTCGCATATCGCAGGGGCACTGCCGCAGCGTTTCTCGCCATTTTTTTGTGTCCCTCTTGCTCGTTGCCAAGTGTCCCTGTATGGAATGATAAACAAAACAAGCTGAGCTTAACAAAAAGAACGTCGAGCGCTGACCCTCTATTCCCCCTCTGCCCACACATGTACGCCGAGTAGCCTCCCAATTACAACCCTGGTACTTGCTAGCGAGCATTGATTTTCCAGCGGAAGTTTCGCACTGTACGCCAGGACAACCTGATAACAACGACAATAAAACATCTCTGTTGACCTCGACCAGGCGTGGCGTTCGAACAGACACGTAGATGCGAGCCTACCAGTACCTCAGCATCGCTAGAACGACATCATGAGGAATGTCCTCCATACCCTTGCCACAAAACATGCCCATAGCGCGCGCAAAGCAATCCCTGCGCCGGCATGGGTTCCCTTGCCCACTAGCCCCAATCTCTTGCGCCGCCAAGTACTGTAGGTTTGCTCCGCACCGTGCGCGCTAGCACGTACGACACATTATCGCCTTGGCTGTCCCTCTCCTTCTGACGGTCGAGCACATGCTGCGAGGGGGCGGGCAGGGAGGGGTGGGGGGGGGGCAGGAAATATGGTGAGTATCAACGAAAACAAGTAACCGCTANTTCCCTTGCCCACTAGCCCCAATCTCTTGCGCCGCCAAGTACTGTAGGTTTGCTCCGCACCGTGCGCGCTAGCACGTACGACACATTATCGCCTTGGCTGTCCCTCTCCTTCTGACGGTCGAGCACATGCTGCGAGGGGGCGGGCAGGGAGGGGTGGGGGGGGGGCAGGAAATATGGTGAGTATCAACGAAAACAAGTAACCGCTACCTGGGGTAGGTGGCAGGATAAATTGGCACCGCCTAATCTATCTAATTACGGTACACACCGTCGTTTTATGGTGTACACTGACGTGAATCAACGATATCATCGGGTGCACAAGATATCACCCCCCACGATACTAATTTCCAAAGGAACGTTTGCGATGCAGAAATCGTCGAAGTTGTAACGCTCTTGTGGACCACTTCCCGTAAACGTGTCGCTGGGGCTAAACACCTCTTCGGGACCCAGTGCAGTAGTGAAGCCCTCAAATTTGGTGCGGTGTGTGTGTGCCACACATTGGTGCCGGGGATGTGATATCTTGCGTCACCAAAGGTGCGTCTTGTTGGGATTTTTTCTGTGATTTTGCAGACTTGCTGTGGTCTTGGGCATGTACGTTCGGGCCAAGCACCTAGTCACTCCTAACTCTGCATCCATGTAGCTGCTGCGCTAGAACGACTTTCCGCGTTTTGTTCGTCTTTGAGCTTCAATATAGACTGCTGCTGTAGGATAGGATAGACCCAGTATGTATTGAGAGAAACGATTGCTTGTGGGTTACAGCAGTATTGCTGCACATACTAGTTGCTGCAATCCACGTTTCGGCTTCGCGGGAGGCTGCCCACCGCCTGAGAGAAGGACTTTTNACCAAAGGTGCGTCTTGTTGGGATTTTTTCTGTGATTTTGCAGACTTGCTGTGGTCTTGGGCATGTACGTTCGGGCCAAGCACCTAGTCACTCCTAACTCTGCATCCATGTAGCTGCTGCGCTAGAACGACTTTCCGCGTTTTGTTCGTCTTTGAGCTTCAATATAGACTGCTGCTGTAGGATAGGATAGACCCAGTATGTATTGAGAGAAACGATTGCTTGTGGGTTACAGCAGTATTGCTGCACATACTAGTTGCTGCAATCCACGTTTCGGCTTCGCGGGAGGCTGCCCACCGCCTGAGAGAAGGACTTTTATGAAAGAAGCAAGCCACTACACACACCTGGATAGACACCCCAGCGATGATATGGGCCTGCTGGCGCCCACAGGTCGTGATCCTATCGGGGTCGCTTTTGTCCCATCCCGGCTGGGGTGTCTCGCACCCGCACCCTTTCGCGGCCGTCACCGCTTGCTCCTTCAGCAATGCCCGGACTCCACCCGGGTTTGCCTGCAGCAGCGCCTTCGCCAGAGGCGTCTGATTGGCAGCACGCGGGGGCTCGTCTGCCAGGAGGGTGGCCAGCTCCTCATCGAACTCGTCGTCTTGCGAACCATCGCCATCGAGGCTAGGTGTTGATGCCGCAGCAGCAGCTGCTCCTTGTCCATCCGCAGCATCGGCGACATCGGCGACACCCTCGGACACAACGAGCCAGGGATCGTTGTCTTCTTCACTCGTAGCACGTTTTGCCGTGGGCGTGTCGATGTCAGACATGAGTCTCGCGGGGTATGGCAGGCAATGTGTACCGAGCTGCTGTCTCTCGTTAGAGACAGGGGCACAGGTGTTGTGCCGTTTGGATTTCAGGCTGAAATCGACGCGATTTTTGTCATTTTGAAATCATCGATTGAAATCACGCGCAACAGTTGACGGAATCACGTGGAAGTTACGAACCGGCACATGCCGCCCATGAACACGCCTCACAACCTCTCCACAGAACCAAAAAGCAAAACTATCGAACCCACTGCCCAGTGCTACCTTAATAACTCTAGATCGACAGCGGATGCTTGGGTAATTAACCGTGCAGCCAGGTGTCTGCATTGGTGGGAGTGACTGTCTGCTCGGATGCGCCCGCAAACTTGGTGCATGCATGTTGTACTTAACGCTCTTTTTTTTTTCTCTCATCATTGGACTCTGTCTAGCCCCTCTGGCCCCTATATCCTCCACTTCTACCAGCTCGGAACGGTTTGTGATGTGAAGACAACAACAACAACAAACAAAAACAACAACAACCAGCTAGACAACCCAACCGGGGTCACATAGGAGGGGGAGGTTGGACCCCCTCCTGCGGTTCCTGCCTCAGATATTTTTATCGCGAGCAGGGTCCAGCAATCCCTTCCCTCGCGACTTTTATGAAGTCGATCAAGTTTACTAACAACGAGCTTTGCAGCGCGTCGCTTCCAACGGAGACCAACCAGGATTTAATTAAGGACGCTGTGCCCGCTCGTCGTTTTGCTGTGGTGGTAGGAAGCATAGTCTAGTCTACAAACTTCATTTTTTTTTATTTTTCTTAATATGACACAACGAGTCCATCTCTATCATAGAAAAGAGTCAGAGACAGATTAACAATGGAATCATAGCGTCAGAGAAAACTACCTGTATGTCTACGATTTCCCAGACAGCATATAGATAGGGACATCTCCCCTGTGGGTAACAGGCTCAACAAATCAGTTTGGTAGCTATCTTGTGTGTCTCATATATGTTATGTTGGGAAGGTGCAGACGAGAGGTGTTGGGTACTGTTGGTTTTAGTCGGGCGTTTTGTGTGTGGCACCCTGTTAGTTGTACGACATAGTCATTTTTTCTTCGCATTGTTCTTCGCATCCACGCCACTGCCCAGTAGAAACAATCAGCGGCCCACACGGACGGACATGTTCACGCCGCTACTGCTGTTGTCACTCTTGACTGGTCCTGCCCCATGCAGTATGCTGCACGCTTCGCAAGAACATGTCCTTACTTGTATGATTTCGGATGATGCTACTTCTGTACGTCTGTCTGTGGTACGCCGATATTTGCGCATGTAATCTCTAATCTGTAGCCTATTTTTGGTTGTTGTTGTGGTTGTAAGTGTACGCACATCCCCCGCAGTTTTTTTTATTCTTTTTCCCACTTTTTTCGTCTTCTTGCTCACCACCCAGCTTAATAAGGATTCACTCTTCTCCTGTACTCCAATCCTGGAGACCTCGCTTACCCCAACTGCTCCACCAGTACGACTCAACCTAGGCTAACATATTCTGCACGACTCCAGAATATCTAATCTGTCGTTGATTTCAATTGACTTACGGACCCCTCGGGGCCATTTTATTTGAGTGTACCTTTTAAGGGTAAGTTAGCCTGCGACCACGGGAATCGACCGCGTCGATTGTTGGATCAGTTGTTGTTGTTGTCTTCACATTGAAAACCGTTCCGATCTCTCTCTACCCAGTACCTTCGTATGTCCGTACTGATGTACTTCTCCCTTCTTCCCCTCGCTCCTCGACAAGCTTTTGCTTAGACATGGGTTGTAGTGAAGGGGGGGGTCTTTCTGGCGAGCAGGGCTAGACTCACCCTCAAGGGATGACCGAAACCTTCTTGCTGCTGCGCATATCCGCCGCGAGGCATGCGCGTGGTG